AAAGCAAAAGACAGACGAGGAACATTCCTTGGGAAGTTTGCATTAGGAAGCCAAAGAAATAGTTAAACTACAAATACTTTGTTCCCTCTCAAAAAAAAAAAAAGAAAAAATTAAAGCAAACAGAGTCCATGGAATAAGAAATCAAAAAGGAGAAGAAAAGACAACAGTAATAAGGTGAAACAGCAGTTGGCCTCAGTAGGGAAAATAAATTAAGGAGAAAGATAATTACAGAAATTAAAAGCACTTTAGAAACATCAAAGTGTAGAGTTGACACTATGAGAAACTGGAGTAGTGGTGTTGATGACAGTCTTGAGGAGAAGCATCCAGAATAAAAGCTAAAGGACAAAAAAGTGGGAAAAAAGCACTTGAAACAATATTCAAACAGATACAGGTAGTTCCTGACTTTGGACGTATTTGAGTTACGATGAACCACATTTATGACCATCCTTTTTTTTTTTTTTTGATTTGTGTATTTTTTTAATGTATGTATATGTGTATGCATTGGAACCCCTGGTGGCGCAGCGGTTAAGAGCTTAGGCTGCTAACTAGCCAAAAGTTCAGCAGTTCAAATCCACCAGCAGCTCCTTGGAAACCCTATAGGGCAGTTCTACTCTGTCTTATAAAGTCGCTATGAGTTGGAATCAATTGGACGGCAATGGGTTTGGTTTTGGTATGTACGTATAAAAATACATCTGTAAGTTTATATGTAATGTTTTCAATCCCCAATGACAAATAATGATCAGATTTATAAAGATACTGATAATAAAGGGCAATAATAATGAAAACTTAAAAAAAAAAAAAGAGGTATTCAACTTAACATCAGAACCAACTTATGATGAAGTCACTGGAATGGAATCCCGTCATAAGTCAAGGACTGCCTGTACTGGAAATGTCACTGAACTGAAGATCTGAAACTGTGGATCAAAAAATTCACTATGTATCAAGTAAAATTAATCAAAAACTGTAAACATCAACAAAACCATCTGAAGTTATCAACTTACAAGATTAAACAAAGAAGTATGCAGCAGCCAGGTATTAAAATAAACTGAAAGTTGACAAAACTTAAAAAGAAAAAAAAAAGGTCAAGTTTGTTTCAAATTTCTCAGCAACATTAGATGCAGACAGCAAGGGAAAGATGTGACTCAAAAGTTCTAGGTCTGATCAAGTTGTTGCTGCTCATATATGTAGGCAACAGAAAGATATCAAATATGCAAAGATTCCAGTTACGGAGAGCTTTGAATCCATTAAATATAATTAAGTTTAAATAATTGTATCATGCAAAGTTCAATCACAAGTAGAACTATGTGTGTGTGTATGTGTGCTAAAGGGATTTGACTTATGCAGTGTGTGAGCTGGCTAAGCAGTCTTTGTAAGGCTGTTGTCTCAACTCTGGGGCTGGAGATTGAAGTACACAGGAAGATAAGCAGGAAGGAATGGTGGATGTAAAGTGGGGAAGAGTAAGAACAATCTGAATCCCACAAGCACAAGATGGAGTCCACGAGGACAGACTGAAACTCGTAACACTTCTTGGGCAGAGCTGAACACATTTACCTGGCCCAGGAGCCAGAGAAACTTCAGGGAGATCCAAAGGGAAGATAGAGTAGTTGCAGGCCTAACTGCTAACAAAGTGAGTCAGCAGCTAAAAAGACCGCATGTATGAGCTAGTAAATAGCTGCTGCTTCAGTTCCATCCTCCAAATCTCCCAAGTGTAGACCCAAATAAACAACTGGGTGTACTGCTCCAAGGTCTGTCTACTGGGATGACTTCCTTCACCACCATCTTTCAGGGCTATCTCAGAGTGGGGCCACAGTGTTGTACTGTCCACTTGCAGTGATGTGTGCCTCCCATGGAGAAAAGCCCCAGGCTTTTTCCTTCCTCAGTCAACTGATCATAGGGAATTCCCCATAAAGCCACAGGTGTCAGTTGAGAGAATGTAATGTAGGAATAGGGACCATGGTCAAGTCTAGGAATTGATTATAGGATCTTGGGCAAGAGGAGAGGAACCTCCTCAGGCAGGGATGGAAGGGCTGCTTCTACTGCCAAATGATTTGAGATCCCCAGCTTGGTTAGAATCTTCCCAGAGGACCCATCTCAATGATCAGAATTGTATTCCTTCCCAACCAATGCCCCAACTTTAACCGAAGAGACCCTGCAAGGTTGGTAATTCGTGTTGTACTGCGTCTTTTTGTTCAGTGATTCACCAGAAGGATTCCCAAGTCTCTATAGTATCTTATGTTCATAGTTAAGATTTTTCACAGCAAAAGATACAAAGCAAAAGCAGCAGGGAAAATATAAGCATTGGTGGGTCCAGAGAGGTCCAACAGAGGCTTCTAATGTTCTTTCTTGTCCATGGGCAGAAAGGAGTGCTCTCTGTAAGCAGCAAACTATAGGTACATGGTCAGGTATCTCTGCCAGGGAAGCCCATTTTAGTCTCAGGGTCCAAGGAGGGCTAGTCACATAGGTATAACTTGTTATGTAACCAGCCACAGCAACTGCAACTCAGAACCCCAACAATAAAACCAAACGTACATCACAATCTTGGTGTTGGTGCAAAGCAACCCCATGAGACAGCATGTATGGCATGGTTCATTGCTCCAGGTGAATATAACAAAAGCATCAATCACTAAGACAAAGAATACTTCAAGGGTCACATTCCCAGGGGTTGGCCAAGGATCAGTCACGGTTCTCTTAAAGACAGGCAAGGAGTAAGCAACTGGACTTGCTGGGTTAACTCTTTCCTCACATTCAGCCACCAGCAGGAATAGACTTGGGTCTAGTTTTAAATCTGTCTTGCAACTACAGGAGATAAGTGTTTTCCAGAGCAGTAATAGAAGATAAGTCTCTTATGCAGAACTTGAGCTGAAAATTAAAAATTAAAAGTCCCGAGCTCATCACTTTTTCTTCACATTATAAAACCAACCAACCCATTGCCATCAAGTCAATTCTGACTCATAGCAACCCTACAGGACAGGGCAGAACTGCCCCATAGGGTTTCCAAGGCTGTAATCTTTACGGAAGCAGACTTCTACATCTTCCTCCCGTAGAGCGGCTGGTGGGTTCAAATCACTGACTTTCCGGTTAACAGCCAAGTGCTTTGATCACTGCATCACCAGGGCTCCTTTCCCCATTGATTCTTCTTATTTTCACTAGAATGTTCTACAGCAGAAAACACTTGGTCACCCATGGCCTTGCCATCTACAGACACTTGACTATAGGTATCTAAAGTTGATAACTGGAGTAACTGTTTTGTCACTGCATGCCATGGACCACCAGTGCTCTCTTTTTCATTGGAAACAGGATCATTAATACCTTTAAATCTAATTTTATCAGAAAACTAATTCCAGAAAATCCAGAATTAATTCAGGAAACTCATCCTTAAGATTTTGTTCCACTCTGGCACCGAATACTGTATCAATCAACCACTAGGATATATATATATATGTATGTAGGTAGGACTTGAAGCACTTACTGATGACGATCAGACTACAGCCTTCAGTATGGATTGCACCTCAATATAAAGAAAACAGAAATCCTCATGACTGGACCAATAAACAACATCATGATGAATGGAGAAAATACTTAAGTTGTCAAGGACTTCATTTTACTTGGATGCACAATCAATGCCCATGGAAACAACAGTCAAGAAATCAAATGACATATAGCATTGGGCAAATGCGCTGTAGAGGACCTCTTTAAAGTGTTAAAAATCAAAGATGTCACTTTGAGGACTAGGTGCACCTGACCCAAGCCATGGCATTTGCAATTGCCTCATATGCATGTGAAAGCTGGACAATGAATAAGGAAGACCGAAGAATTGATGCCTGTGAATTATGGTGTTGGTGAAGAATATTGACTATATATGGACTGCCAAAAGAAGGAACAAATCTGTCTTGGAAGAAGTACAGCCAGTTAGAAGCCAGAATGGTAAGACTTCGTCTCATGTATTTCTGGCATGTTATCAGGAGGGACCAGTCCCTGAAGGACATCATGGTTAGTAAAGGATCAGCAAAAAAGAGGAAGACCCTCAATGAGATGGATTGACACAGTGGCTGCAATGATAGGCTCAAGTATAACGATTGCGAGGATGGCACAGGACTGGGTGCAAATGGTTTGCACTCGGCTACCTGTTGCCGTCTAGTCAATTCCGACCCAGTGTGACAGAGTAGAATTGCCCTGTAGGGTTTTCTAGACTGTAATCTTTACAGGGGCAGATTATCAGGTCTTCTCTCCCACAGAGCAGCTAGTGAGTTCAAACCGCCAACCTTTCGGATAGCAGTTGAGCGCTTGACCGCTGTGCCACTAGGGCTCCTTTTGCACTTGATTACTAACTTAAAAAGGAGCCCTGCTGGTGCAACAGTTAAGCGCTCGGCTGCTAACTAGAAGGCTGGCGGTTCGAACCCACCAGCCACTCTGCAGGAGGAAAGACCTGGTGATCTGCCTACGTAAAGATTACAGCCTAGAAAACCCTATGGGGTGGCTCTGCTCTGTCACAGTGGGTTGCTGTGAGTTGGAAATTGACTTGATGGCACACAACAACACTGACCTAAAGGCTGGCAGTTCAAACCCACTCAGAGGCTCTGTGGAAGAAAGGTCTGGCAATCTGCTCTTGTAAAGATTACAGCCGAGAAAATCCTATGGAGCAGTTCTACTCTGTAACACATGGGGTTGCCATGAGTAGAAATGGACCTGCTGGCAAACAGGTTTGGTTTTGGTTTTAATCCTTCCATTATACAATGAGCAAGACTACTGGACGAATTATTTATACATTCATTTTTTTTATTTTAAAGAAATCTGACAATCCTTTGACTAAACAATTATACTTTTAGGACTTTATTGTAAGGAAGTAATAAGGATGTGCATAAAAACGTAACTATCAGGATGATTCACCAGAGCACTGTTCACATTAGTGACAAACTAGAAACTACTTATGGGAAACAATTGGACGGTTAGTAAATAAATTATGGTACCGCCATCAAATGGAATGCTCAGTAGTCATTAAAAATGTTACAGAAGAAAATTTATTGACATGAAAAGGTGTTTAGGACATACTGATATGGGAACAAATTAGACAGTAAAATGACATATACAGTAAATGATTCCATTTTTGTAAAAAATATATATGTATGGTATATAGCAAAAAAAACCTGCAAGGATATCCATGAAAGGGGGAACAGTGCTTATCCCTGGGAAGGGGATATAGGTGTTTATTTTGTTCTTTACTTACCTGTATTTCCCACTTTTTCTACAATTCACATGATTTGCTTTCGTAATGAGAAAAAGTTAATCCATTACAACCCTTTGTTTTGATTAAAACAAATCCATTTAAGAAATCTTAGGTTTTCTATGCAGCAGAAATGCTTTCCAACTGGCCACAGATGCAAAGATTTTGCCCTCTGCGGTGGCTGGCAGGAACCTTCACAATCACAGCTCAGAAAGTCAGGTTCAGGGAAGAATGGGGCTTCCTACAGCTTCCAGGGTCCTTGGTTCAGCTCTTGTGCCTCAAGGACAAGCCAGCTCATCTCCAGGCCAGTCCAGTCTATTCTTGCTGAGTCACCAGTCGCATCATTTTCAGAGCCATAGCTCCCTGGTCAGCAGGAACCTAGAACCAAGCAGCACTGCGTTAGGGCTCCCAGTGCTGTTCCTGGGGCTAGAGTCAGGGGCAACACCTGAGGACACTGCGCTCGGGTGCAGCCCTCAGAGAGAAGGTTTTTTCTGTGAAACGACCCCTGGGATGGACAATACGCTCCTCTGGGCCCTGACTGTGTGGGGGTAGAAGGGACCCCAGAGAAGTCGGCATTTAGGCAAGAACCTTCTACCCCATTTGGGCCTGATCGATTGCTTTCTCTGAAGGGGCTATGGTTATGTCACTGGGAGCCAACCTGTGTAAGGAAGCAGGACAATTCTAAACATTTTAAAGGATTCTCTATATAGGATGAATCCCAGATTGGGAATGGAGTGAAAAGGAGCCCAAGAGGGAAGCTAACAGGAAAGCTATAAACAAATACAAATCAATCAACCAGCCAAGCAACCAACACACCAACCCACCAACCAAAAATACCTTTTGTTTGGACAATTTTTGTATTGTTATTCAGCTTTCTTTTCTTTTCCCTCAGATCTTTAAAATAATTCCTTTTAAGAAACTCCTCCCTACACACCATCAAAAGAGGGAGAGCCAGAGGCCTCAGTTTCTCCTTTATAAAGAGAGGGTGGAGAAGATGGGTGTCCAAGCTCTGAAATGCCAGGGCTGCAGAACTCCCTCTGGCACCTCCTGTCCTTGACTCTCCTGCCAAGCAGAGTCTCCAGGAGACACAGGCAGGGTGGGGCACACTCATCAAAAAACACATAATCAATTAAAGGAGACGTGGTTTGGAATGATTTAATACAGTCTCCAAGGGTTATTTGTATTTATTTTTTTAATTGTACTTTAGATGAAGGTTTACAGAACAAACCAGCTTCTCATTAAATAGTACACATACTGTTTTATGACATTGGTTAACAATCCCATAACATGTCAACACTCTCCCTTCTCGACCTTGGGTTCCCTATTACCAGCTTTCCTCTTCCCCCCTGCCTTTTAGTGCTTGCCCCTGGGCTGGTGTGCCCCTTTAGTCTTTTGTTTTACGGGCCTGTCTAATCTTTGGCTGAAGGGTGAACCTTGGGAGTGACTTCATTACTGAGCTAAAAGCGTGTCTGGGGGCCATACTCTCAGGGTTTCTCCAGTCTCTGTCAGGCCAGTAAGTCTGGTCTTTTTTTGTGGGTTAGAATTTTGTTCTACATTTTACTCCAGCTCTGTCCAGGACCCTCTATTGTGATCCCTGTCAGAGCAGTCGGTGGTGGTAGCTGGGCACCATCTAGTTGTACTGGACTCAGTCTGCTGGAGGCTGTGGTAGTTGTGGTCCATTAGTCCTTTGGACAAATCTTTCCCTTGTATCTTTAGTTTTCTTCATTCTCCTCCAAGGGTTATTTTAAGGCTTCCCCAACCGCTCTCTTGTTCTATATGTGACAGACCAAGAGGAAACGGGCCCGAACTCCAGCACGTGAGCGTGCGATTAGCTGGGACCTCCTTCCCCTTCCACCTGCCTTAGCAGGTACCCCTCTCTAGTAATATTTTTTTTGCTCTAAGACTTCCTGCTAGTTTTACCCAGTCAATACTAAAGGTACTCGGATACCTAGAGCCATTAAAAAAAAAAAAAGCCCTCTTTGCCCTGTGTTCAGCCGCCTTGCTCGCTCTTTCTTCAGATCAAATTTCTTAAAAGGGTGGATGACTTCCTTCTAGTTTCTTAAAGGAAGTTGTTGTTTCCTCTCCCTCACTGTTCATTTATTTTTTCCAGCCTTTCCATTCTGGCTTGAGCCTGACACTCCACTAAAAATGTGTGCCATGGTTCCTAAGGATATCAGTATAACCAATTTGTTGCTTAAGTTTAGTCCTTTATCTGAGTTCTCAGCAGCATTTGACCCTGTGGGCCCCTTCCTCTTTCCCCAAACCACCCTTTCTCCTTCGGGGAGGCTTCGTGTTCCTGGTCTCCCTCCTACTTCTCCAGCTGCTCCTTTCTCAGGCTCATCTGCAGGCACCTCTTTCAGTGCTTCCCAGGGCCCTGTCCCAGCCTTGTCCATACCTGACCTCCAAATCTCTATTTCCAAGGACAAATATGTATCTTGATTCCAGATCCATATACACTGTTTATATATAGAGTATTCTGAATATATGTACTCAATTGCCTATTGACATCTCACTTGGCTGTTCTACCAGTAATTCATACTCATCTCATGTAGCAAACTGCCACCCTATCCCAGAGAATGATGCTGGAGTGGAAACCAGGATGCCACCCTTCATTTCTTCCCCACCCCAAACAGCTCCTAAGTCCTGCCAACTCTCTCTTTTTACACTTTATCACATCCATCTTCACGTCTCCCTTCTGGGTTACCATAACAGCCTCTTCCATACCCTCTGCCGCCAGAATGCTATCTCTTAGACAAATCTGACATCTCATTTGTTTCCTTAAAACCCCTCAATGTTGCCCTATTGCCCTTTGGATAAAGTCTTAATTCTTCGCGTGTTATACAAAGTCCCCTTTCAGCCTCCTCTCTGGCCACTGTCCCTCCCAAGGCCTCAGCTCTCTGGAGGCTCTTCTGGCAGTGTGCCAGCTGCTCTCCTGCTCCCAGCTCCCTTTACCTAGCTAACTCCTACTCATCCTTTAGGGCCCAGTCTTCCAGATGCCTAAGCCTGGCCTGGCTACCTGTTACGAGTCGATTTGTGTCCCCCAAAAAGATACGCCGAAGTCCTGACCCCCAGTACCCGTGAATGTGACCTTATTTGGAAACAGCATTTTTGCAGATGTAATGAGTTAACATGAGGTCACACTGCAGTAGGGTGGGTCCCAATCCAATATGAATGGTGTCTGTTTAAGAGAAGAAATGACACAGAGACAGAGAGACATAGAAGGAAGAACACCACGTGGTGATGGAGGCCGAGAATGAGAAGCCAATGAATACCAAGGACTACAGGAAGCAGAAGCTTGGAGAAAAGCGCAGAACAGACTCTCCCCCAGGGCCTTTAGAAGGAACTAACCTTGCCAACACCTTCCTTTTAGACTTCTATCTTCCAGAAGTGTGAGAGAACAAATTTATGTTGCTTTAAGCCACCAGTTTGAGGTACTTTTTTACGGCACTCACAGGAAAATAACACAGTACTTTTTCTTGGGCCAACCCCATCTTAGCATTTCTTGTTGCACTTTATTACAATCTATTTGCCTGTCTGCCTCTCTCGACTAGGGGCCTGTGGCTTCATTCTCAGTACCATCTGAGGTCTGCAACAAAAGCTGACTTGATCTCTTACCATGTGTCCCGCTCTTAGAATCCAGTAGAAAGCCAGGTTCTTGTAGGACTTGACAAAGGCAGACGTTTCAGAAGATCTTGGGTCGATGTACAGGGCTTTCCACTTCAGCTGATTGAACGTGGACAGTTCTGGCCACTTGAGTTTCCGCACCCAAGCCTCCTGACCTAGTGAGGGACAAGGAGAAGGGCCGGGCATTAACAGCAGGGTAGAGCAGAAAAAAAAAATTTTAGCTCCTATAACTTGGTGCTTCTCAAACTGTAATGTGCATAAAAACCACCCCCAGGATCTTGTTAAAATGCAAATTTGGATTCAGCAGACCTGGGGTGGGGCCGAGACTCTGCATTTCTATCAAGTTCCCATTGATGCTGATGCTGTGGATCTCAGCTCAGACTTTAAATGCCGAGGCTCACTAGAAGACGTACCAGCCTAACTGTTTTTTGCCTCTGGCTCACCCACTGCTATATGCTCTTAAGGAAGAAAGTCAGAGACCTCTGTGGAGACTAGTGGGTATGTCAGGAGGCCTGAGAAGTCTCGGGGATGAAGAGACAGTCACTTGGATCACCTGGGCGGTTCATGGGAAACCACAGAATCTTTTCAAACTGTTCTTAGTGCCCTCTGCTTACAAGTCACAAAAATACTCAGTTCTACTGACTTCAAAAGACACAGCACACTTGCCAGACCAGGTGCCTCCATTCGACTGATGGTTCTAAGAACCTGGCCTCTGAGCCTCTACCTGGCCCTACTGAAATCAGAAGCGAGCACGTGTGGCCCTGAGTTTTCAGGTTTACAGTATCCTTTAGAGTTTAGCTTTAATTCACTTTAAATGCTTAACATCTAACTGTGAGATTGCACAAACACTAGGCTTTCCCTCAGTTAAACAGTGCATTTGCCCAATGATCAAGAAAATATTTTCTTTATGGTGAGATGGTTATGTTGTTCCTATTTTTAGAAATGATACCTAAGGGCCTCAAAATCTGGAAGGGCTCAGTCTTCTCTGAAGGGTCACTGCCACAAGCAGTTTCCCTTTCTTCAAAAAGTCAAGGCCAGGGACAGATGGAAGTAATAGGAAATGGCCTTACTCCTGGCATTTAAATGCTGCCAACCCCAAGACTGATGCACCCAAGGCCAGTTCCCTTCCACCTCAATCCATGAAACTGCCCCCACAGTCTCCTCAGGGTCAGTTCCTACCTATGGTGTCCACGATGAGATCGAGCTGTCCGTTATACACGGTCACACTGACCCCGGCTTCCAGCAACTCGTCCACAATGCTGGTAACTGGCTTCATGAAGTCTCCCTCCATGTTCATAAAGACGTTTGTAGCCTGGGCTGTATGTGGGAAAGGAGAAAGAGGTAGCAGCTCGGAATCTACCAGAACAAGAGGCTCCTTTCAGCCAAAAGCATCCTTGGCTCCAGCATCTAAAAGTAACTACTGCATGGCACTTAGCAGAGACTCTCCCTATGCAGATGCGTCACAAACAGGGACTAACCAACCCAGAAATCCGGGTCCTGAGCTGCAGGAGTGGAAGAGAAGCACAAGCAGCACGCACGGTCTAATCACCCAAGAGCCTGAGATGATAGCTGATCCCATTTTTACAGAGGAACTGAAGCTTGGAGAAGGCTACTGCCCGTGGACACAGGGTAGGCAGCGATGTAGGAAATATTCTTCAGGCTGGTCGTCTCAGGGAAACACAGGCTTTGAACCAATGTTTATTTTCCTCCTTTGTTGAGTAACACCAGAGCCAAGGTTTAAGTTATGAAGAAGTGAGGCCATCTTTGGTGGAAAACCAAATCAGATATCTCCATTCCGAGCTGCTGTTAGCTGCCGTGGAGTCGGCCCCTGACTCATGGTGACCCCATGCATGATGGGAAGAAATGCTGCCCGGTCCGGTACCATCCCTATGATCAGCTGGGGACTGGATTATTGTGATCCTGGTTGATTTTCAGAAATAGATCACCAGGCCTTTCTTTGCAGTCTGTCTTAGACTGGAAGCTCCACTGAAACCTGTTTAGCATCATAGCAACACGCAAGCCTCCAATGACAGAGGAGTGGCGGCAGCACATGAGGTGGGCTCTCCAGGAATTGAACCTGGGTCTCCTACATGGAAGGCAAGAATTCTACCACTGAACCACCACTGCCTTCCCATTCTGGGCTAGCCCTCAGTAAAGTCATGTGGATGACAAGCCCCAGGCAACAGATGGTACCCGACCATCAGCATCAACATCATATTAAACAACAACAACAGCAGCTTCCATTTATTTCCAAGCTGCTCTGCTAAGCAAGCACTTTACAAGCAACATCCTACTTTGTCATCACTACCTTGGAAGGTAAGGAGCCTTATGTGATGGTTAACGAAAATGAGGCTCAGAGAGGCTGAGAGACTTGCCCCTGGGGTTGAAAGAGCTAGTCAGTGGCAAGTTGGGATATGAACTCAGGATATAACTCCCAAGTACGTATGCTTAGCTACAAATGAGAACTCAAGACACTGGGGGTATTGGCCAAGGACAGTTTGTCTTTTCTTGACCATATACAGACACATCTGGGGCCTAATGGAGTTTTCTCCATCAGTGATCTCCTGCAAAAATGTAGTCCCCCTTGCCCGTCCAGCCACACTAGGCAGGGAGGGTACATATAACCAGGGCCTTGAGAGACCACCAAGAGAGAGCTGGTCAAAAATTGTCCAAGGACATGGGTGTGTCTGAAACCCTGCAAAGGGCTTTTGCCTGGAAGTTACACCTGCAACCACTGGTGGCCTTAAGCATGGATTTTTTTATCTTAATTTTTTATTGTGGAAAATTTCAAACTTATACAAAAGACGAGAGAAGAGCGTAATGATTCTCGGATACCCACACCTGAGTTTAACAACTATCAACTCATAATCAATCATGTTTCATCTCTTTCCCCACCCATCTCTTCTTTCAAACCAAATTTTGACATGTCATTTACTATGTCCATATATGTTTCTTCACCTATAAAATGTGGACAATAAATAATACTGTTTTACCTGCATACCATCACCACCAACAGAACCCACTCTACAAATTAAGGCCTTTGAATTTACACTTCTCTTCTCCCCCAAACTCTACAAATGACACTTAATTAATCACATAAATACCTCCCCAGGAGTAATCCTCAGGAATAATTTTGAGCTTCTTTTTGATGGGGCCGTTCATGAGCTGACTCAAGGCATCTTGTTGTAGGTGTCTCATGTGGCGCTGACAAAGATGAACTAAAACCAAACCGGTACATGGTGAGTCAAAGGAAATAAAACTAAGAGGACATCTTACTAACGGACCACAACTACTACAGCCTCCACCAGCCTAAGTCCGGCACAACAAGATGGTGCCCGGCTACCACCACTGACTGCTCTGACAGGGATCATAACAGGGGGTCCCAGACAGAGCTGGAGAAAAATGGAGAACAAAATTCTAACTCACAAAAAAAGACCAGACTTACTGGTCTGACAGAGGCTGGAGAAACCTGGAGAGTATGGCCCCTGGACACCTTTTTAGCTCAGTAATGAAGTCATTCCTGAGGTTCACCCTTCAGCCAAAGATTAGACAGGCCCATAAAACAAAAGGAGACTAAATGGGCACACCAGCCCAAGGGCAAGCACTAGAAGGCAGGAGGGGGCAGAAAGCTGGTGATTGGGAACCCGAAGTCGAGAAGGGAGAATGCTGACATGTCGTGGGGTTGGTAACCAATGTTACAAAACAATATGTGTATTAATTGTTTAATGAGAAGCTAGTTTGTTCTGTAAACCTTCATCTAAACTACAATAATAATAATGATAATTAATAAAAAGAAAGAAAAACAAAACCAAGAGGATATCTTTTCTGAGCTGTTGGGGACTGCAGTAAGAGGGAGGGTTTCAGCTGGAAAATGAAAAGGGTCACCTTGATTCACCCCAGATGGAAGAAGAAAATCAGAAACATGTTGAAAGCAGAGATGTTTTATTACTTCTGATTGCTGCATTCTGTGTACTCTGTCTGGGGCTATCTGGGTTACCCTGAATGGCCAAAGGAAATCAGCTAAGAATTGGAATCTAGACTTAAGAAGCCTTTATACACCTCTTATGGAGGGAGGCTGCTGGGTCAGCTGAAAGACAACTTGAATTCAACCATTAGAACTGACATGGTAATTTGGTATAGAAAAGTTGGTTTCCAAAGTTCAAAAACAGTATGCTTAAGTGAAAGAAGCCTGATACAAAAAGACTACCTAGTTGTATGATTCCATTTATATGAAATGTCCAGAAAAGGCAAATCTGTGGTGATAGAAAGCAGATTAGTGGTTCCTGGGGTTGAGATGCGGAGAGAGAATCAACTATCAAGAGGCACCAAGGGTGGTGGAAACATTCTAAAACCGGATCGTGGTGATGGTTGCACAACTCTGTGAATATACTAAAAACATTGACTTATACACTTAAAGTGAGTGGATTTTATGGTATGTAAATTACATGTCGATAAAGATGTTATTAAAAAAAATTGGTTTCCTCTTACATGCAGGCTGAGGCAGGATCTAACAGAGTTCAAGGTCCACTCACCTAGATGGCTCTGGGTGAATTCCAGGCTCGACTCCTTTGCAGGCACTGTAGTATTTTTAGTTAAGATGTTATAGAAGTTTACTCCATCTGTGTTCTGAAAAATAAAAGTACATTTGGCTATCTGCTTTCTTCATTTGTTCATTATCAAAGTTTCAGAAAAGGCATCTGACACTCCACCTTATCTAAGGACAACTTTAAGTTTGTAAATTTGCTCAGACAGTAAGAAATGCCGCTCTGAAGACTCAGAAACCAGCTGGGTCGGCCCACTCTCTTGGGAGGGTGGGGAGCAGTTCATATGAATTGAGTTCATACGCTGCAGAAGAAAACCAAGGGCCTGGGTGTTAATCTACCTGAGAACAGTGCTGCAGAGGCCCCTACACACCTGAGTCCTGGCCAGTGTATCCTTCCCTTTTGGCTCACTGGAGTCTAAATGTTCCACCTCAAAATAAGGGATATACTGCCCCAAACTACATACTTCCCCCTTCAGATCATAGTCTTTCTTACAGAATCTATCCACACATGCAACGGAGGGACAAGCAAGTCTTGCAGGCCTGGGTGGCTTTCTAACTCTGTAACAGGGCTACTAAGGAGTCCTGGTAGCACAGTGGTTAAATGCTCGGCTGCTAACTGAAAGGCTGGCCGTTTGAACCCACCCACTGGCTCCGCAGGAGAAAGACCTGGCGATCTGCTTTCTAAAGATTACAGCTTAGAAAAACCTATAAGGTAGTTCTACTCTGTCACATGGGGTTGCTATGACTCAAAATCGACTCAATGGCCTCTGACAACAACAACAAAAGGGCCACTACATCGCTGCTCAGACCCGTCAGGTATCTACTGCACAGGTTACTGTTCAGAATGCAATCACTTCCAGAATCGGTGGTCTCAGGATAGACCCCAATCCTGTCAACACCAGCCACTTGATTTTTTTTTCCCTAGGCCCTGTACCCATGGGAAACAGCCAACTGGTTTCCCTGAGCACATCCCCCTTTACCTGCTCAATGACCATTTCTGCTTCCCCCCACAGCCGGGTGGCCTCCATGTAGTCGCCCTTGTTTACAGCGTTCAGGACTTGCTCTGCAACCTTGGCTACCTCAGCCAGACCTTGGTCGTCCAGGAGAGACTAGAACGCAAACCAAGAACAAAAAGGCAACTTAAGGACGTCAATCTCGAATTGCTGCTGTTGGGGATAGGGTGAGGGAAAGAGAGAGCAGGAGAAAGGGGAGCTTACCTATGAAAGCACATCACTACAACCCACACAGTTGAGCAGTAAAATTAATGACATCACCTACTACTGTTACTGGGCTTATACATTACAAAGTATGTTAATATCTAACTGCTCCCTGCTAACTTTATTAGGGGTACACACCTCAAAAACCATGTTTTGTCTGACTACCAGATGCAAACCATGAAACTTAATTGGAACCTGGTTTGAAAATAAGAGCTATAAAATACATTTTTGGGAAAAGTGGGGAAGCTTGGAAATGGACTGGATTTTAGATTATATTAAGTAACTATTGTTAATTTTCTTAGGTATAATAATAATATCGCAGTTACAGACAACGGCCTTGTTTTTAGGAGATGCATGATAAAACTAACTAGGCATAAAATTCATGATGTCTGCCAATTTATTTTCAAATAATTTAGCAAAAATAACACACATACACACAAATATTTACTGATGAAAGATACAAAGCAAGATGTTAATTGAACCCAGCTGGTAGGTATACAGTGTTCACGGAGATCTTTCCATTTTTTTGCACATTTGAAATTTTTTATAATAAAAAGTTGGAGGACTCCTTTGCCATGAGACCTGATGAACTGGATGCTGTCCAGCTACCATTACTGAACATTTTGATCAAAGATTCTATAGAAGAATCTTGACCGAAAATGGGAAAACGCAGAACAGAATTTCAAATTCTCATGGAATCCAGACTTTCTGGAGCAACAGTGGGTGGATGAACCCCTGAAACTATTGCCCTGAGATAATCATTAAGACTTAAACCAAAAATACCCCCTGAAATGTTCTTAAAACCAAACAGCAGTTTAGCTTAACTAGTAAAAAATGTCTGCTTTGAGCATTATGCTCTTTAAGAATTATCTATATGGGATCAAAATGACAACAGCAACTTGAAAGATTAGATAGGAACCTTAGAGGGTAGTGAGTTTATGTTACTGGGGGAGGAACAACTCAGAAAAGGAGGGTGAGAAGGGTTGTACAACTTGAAGAATGTAACCAATGTCACTAAATTATACATGTAGAAATTATTTCATTAGTTTGTTATGTATATTTTCACCACAAAAAAAAAAAAAATGTTTCTTGTACCCAGAAAAAGGGGCTAGCTGTGCTGATGTTTATTTGTTCCTGAGGCTGTTGCTTATTGTCCTCAGTATGACATGGCCTAGTACTCCCAAAGGAACAGTTAAAGAACAGAAGTCACTAGGCTGCTAACAGCGTTAACCACACAGGCAAACTTGGCTAGCTTCCACCTTACTGAGGAACGAGCCAGAGAGTTGAGCTGGACTGTTTACCACAGCAGTGCAGAGGTGAGAACCCACCTACTTACCATGCTGTACAGGTAGGGTCCCCAGGAAAGCACCGAATCTAGAGAAAAGCACACATTTACGAAATGAGTCTGTTGTGGCTCTGTCCTTGCAAAGAAGAACCCAACTAGTTGTCTTCCCAAAGCAGGAAGGGACAGAAGCAGGAGATCGGTGGCTTTGGGTTTGAAGGCTCCTTAACTCACCAGTGCCCACACAGGGGACGGGCTGACATCTCGGTGGCTGGGAGTTGAAACGAGGTTGAGGGAGATGCCCTTTGGCTGACTCTGAGGACTGATAGCACATTAATGTGGTCTAATACTGGCCCAGCGAGTGCATCAAAGCCAGTGACGGCATCCCCGCCGGCAGGCTGTGGGTGGACAGGTGGAGGCTCCTGTCTGCAGACTTCTGGGCTTTTTGACAGCTTAAAATACCTCCCCGCCCTCACACCTCTGCTGTGTATCATATTTGCTTTTCCTGCTTGGAGCCACTAGCTTCTGCCAAGGAGCTAATTGAAGGCTAATGAGTTGAAACTCAAGCATCTGTGGGTTCAGTGCCAATCGACTCATTTCTATTTCATAAACACATAGAGAATTTACTAAGGACCTGAAGGTAGCAAGGAGCTTTATAAGATATAAATATGACGAGGACAACGCCTGTCCCCAAAGAGGATAGATGGGCTTGGTTTAGACAAACTCACAATTTCTGTACCACTAGGAAAGGCAAGTGCCATGGAGACACAACCCAACAAAGTACCAAGGACCTCAATCTGTAAAGCGCATTTGACTATGGTAACTCCTCTGCTCAGAAGCCTTCAATGGCTTCCTAGGACCAAGTCTCAAAGTATGTTTCAAGTAACTTCAGTTTTGTAGGATTTTAATCTAGGTATTAGAAGAAGAAACGGTCCTTTGGTTAAATACCTTTGGAGTTATGCAAAACGTGACACATTTCTTTACTGCAGGACTTCTCAGAGCCTTCAACGTGCCTGTGAATCCCCAGGAGGTGGAAGCAGTGTTCAGCACATCCAAAACTTATTTGACTAGGGAACCCTTCTTTGTACCCTACCTCATTGGACTGGTATTCTTCAGAATACACCCTGAGAAATGCAGGCATACCAGGTCCTCTGTGACCAACTTATCGTCCATCTCTCCAGCTTCATCTCCAAGCCTGTGCTTTTGCCTAGTTTCTTGAAATACAGAATTGTTTGCAATTCCCCAGTGCACCCCATCCCTGTGTGATCTAGACCAGGAATTGATAAACTTTTTCTGTAAAGAGCCAGATGGTAAATATTTTTGGTTTTGCCAGCCAGAAGTCTCTGTTTTAACTATTTAACTCTGCTGTTGTAGCATGAAACCACTCAGAAAATATGTAAATGAACAGGCGTGACTGTGTTCCAATAAAGCATTACTTACAAAAACAGGTGGCAGGCTGGATTTGGGACAGTAGTTTCACAGTGATTTCTGCAGTAGTGGAAGTATTCTAAATCCGCACTGTCCAATTCTGTAGCCTCTTGCCACATGTGGCTATTGAGCACTTAAAATGTGGCTAGTGCAACTGAGAAGCTGATCATGTAATTTTCTTGTCCATATTGGATGGTGTAGACCAATACCTTCTTGAAGGCAAGGAGTCTTCTGTATCTTTCTTGGCCCAGCCCCTAGCATGTTGTTGTTAGCTGCTGTCGAGCCTGCCTAGTATCTAGCAAGAAATTAATAATTGTTTGTGGAAATTAACAATGTCTCTCCTTCAAAAAGGGAATACTTCTGAGATGGAGGGGTGACAAAGAAAGTGGACCTAGAAGATGAATTAAGATCTGGGCAGGCAGATTCATAAGGGAAAATGGGTCACAACAAGCAGAAAAAGGTAGATTCTGGGCAGGGTGAACAGCACTTACTGGTCTACCATGCAGTGTACACTACCATGCAGTGTAGTGGTTAAGTGCATAGATTCTAGAGCCTGCTGCCTGCGTTGAAGCCTGGCTTTACTACTTTAGCTGTGTGACTCTAGGAAAGTTACTTAACCTCTCTGAGTCTCAGTTTTATCATCTGCAAAACTGGGATAATAACAGCACCCATGGCCTGGAGTTGGTGTAAGGATTAATGAAGTTAGCACATGCAAAGCACTTCGTGTTGTGCTGAGACTCCGAGGAGGACGTGTGAGGACCAGTGCTGTGATTCTGAGTCAGACATCTGACAAGAAACCTGCTGGGACCACAAGCCCCCAGTCAAGGCACCAACGGTTTCATGATGTCCTATGAGGTCCATCCAGGAAGGGAAAACAAACAGCAGCCCTTCTCTCCACACTGACTCAGACCTCAGTTTTATGACATTTTATTTTTTAAATTTTTTTGCTTTTATGACATTTTAGTCCTACCCAGGAGATGCCAAGAATAAAAGCAAGAAAGAACTGTTCCACTTAGTATCAGAATATCCAGAGCCATTAGGGACACGGCTCAGTCACAAGCCAAATCCCTCTCTTGTACAAGGGAAATATTATCTTTTACACTTTTTTTTTCAGTTGAGGCATCATCACATATCACAAATCAAAAGTATACATTTAGATGAATTTTGCTCATTGCCTATATACACGTAATTGCCACCTTAATCAATATATACAGCATTGGCACCCTAGAAAGTTCTCTTGTGTTCCTTTCCAGCCCATCTCCTCCCTTCTCCAGAGGCAACCTCTCTTCTGATTTCTAATACCACAGTTTCCTTTTGCCTGTGAAAGGCCACCTTTTGTTAGGTTAGAGCAGTAGTTCTCAACCAGGGGCAATTTTGTCCCCCAAGAGACACTGGACAATGTCTAGAAACATTTTTGATTGCCACAACTGGGTTGGTGCTACTAGCATCTACTTGGGAGACCACGGACACTCCCCCACAACAAAGAATTACATGGCTCAAATGTCAGTGTGCTGAAGTTAAGAAACCCTGGGTCAGAGTTAATCTAATGAAGATGATTACGTCTGGTGTCTGAAGCCACACCCCGGATGTCTACAACATAAACAACTCTTGACTGTGTTCCCAACAAGGATGCTCATTAAGAAACAGCAAACCTCTGATTGCAGGCTCTGATGATAATCTCAAACCACCATCAATAGGAGCAACGGATGGGAATTTCACCCCAAATGTCTGTTCCAACATCGGGCTGGTGGAAGGAATGAACCGAGTCAGACTGACCTGGATTTGAATCCTGACTAGGCCACTCCTTCCATGCCAGAGGGCAAATTACAACACCTTTCTGAGCCTTGAGAATGCCTTCAACCACAAAGTTTGATTCTTTTGTTGTGAGAATGAAATAAGAGAACTCAGTTCAGCCCTTAGTGGCCCATGGTAGGGGCTCTGTAAATGAGTTCTCATTCCCAAATCTCTCAGATGCTCCTGAAGCAAATACCTTCTGAGCTGACTTCTCCAAGGGCCCAGAAATGTCTGCTGCCTTGGTCTTTGATCAGAACAATGCAGCCCAAAAGTCCCAGGGGAGGATGAGGGAAACGGGAGTAAATAAATGCCTGAAAACCCCGTACTTACCAACAGGTGAGATCCAGGAATCACCCAGTGCAACTCCAGCAAAGTTGCACTTGATGCTCCCTTCCTGAAGGGCCTAAAAAAAAGCAGCCAAGAAACATCCTTGCAAGGGCACACAGAGGCCTCCGCCCCTCCCTCAACAGAGGGAGGGAGGCAAGCCTTTATACCCTGCCTTTACTGAGCGCAGAAAACTTCTGCCCACCCTTTCCGAGATTCCCTGGGTATCAAAGGACCCGATACCCACCAGGGAGCAAGAGCAACTCTTCCCTGCCACCATGTGCAAAATGAGTAGGAACTGTGTAAACCACTCTACCTCACTCACAGGATGTGTATGGGGTCTGGTGCAGCTCCCAGTCTTCTTTACAAGGGACACTGCCTCCCACTCCCCACTGAGGTCCGTGATTCCTCACAAGGTGCTCAGAAGGCTCCTTGTGTACCACCATCACTGTATAAGGAGCAGTAACTGAAAGGCTGCAAAAGCTTCTCTTGGAAGTCTTTGAGGGTGGAATGGATGCTTTCTCGACATTCTGCTCCCTTTACCCCTTTTAAAAGTAATACATCTTTCCAGTAGCAGACAATATAAATAACTGTCTAAGTAACTATCCATCTATAACCAATCCATGGCTGTTGAGTTGATTCTGACTCTAGTGACCCTATAGGACAGAGTAGAACAGGACAGAGTAGAACTGCCCCATAGGGTTTCCAAGGAGCAGCCAGTGGATTTGAACTGCTAACCATTTGGTTAGCAGCCAAGCCCTTAACCACTGCGCCACCAGGGCTCTAAATAACTATCCATAGGGCTGGCTAAATGAAGTATGGTATTTCCATAGCACATGATACAACTTTAAAAAAAGAATAAGAAGGCTCTTTATGAATTGATATAAAAAGATAAATTAAATTAAAAAATAATAAAAAAAATAGTTAAAGGTATTAAATACTGTGTAGCATATGCTATTGTTTGTGTAAAAATGGGGGAAAAGAATATATATGAATTAGCTTATATAGGCATAAAATACCTCCGCAAAGATATAGGACAAACTAATAAGGCGTTGCCTTAGGGGAGGGAACCCTGGTGGCCTGTGGTTAAGTGCTCAACTGCTAACCACAAGGTCGACAGTTCAAATCCACCACCTGCTCCTTGGAAACCCTCTGGGGAGTTCTGCTTTGTCCTGTACAGTCGTTATGAGTCGGAGTTGACTCAACGGCAAATGGTTTTTTTTTGTTGTTGTTTTTGGGGATGGGGGGAGCAGAGGCAAGAGGGAGAATTTTTATAGTATTCCTTTCACAATTTTTGAATTTTGAATTATGTGAATATCCTAGCTATTCGGAGAGATTTAACATTAAAAAAAAGCTATGAGTATCCTGCTTTGAACACTGGTAATTAAAGGGGGGGGGGACGCACTTATCTGGCTTTTCTAGAAGGAACTTTATTTCAGAGTAACTTACATTCTACCAGGTAATGGGGGAAAGTGCAATTTTATGGAAGAATGCCAGCTAATAGATGTGAACAAAATGACAGAGAGAGAAACCATCATTTGAAACCCTAATAAAATTACTGATTTAGGTGAGTTATGAATTGACTTTTAAACCATTTGGTGAAAGGCAGATGGGGAACTGAACATCCATAAGGTGTGAAAACACCACCACTGAGATAACCTGCGGTCAAAGGGGGAGGAGGAGGCGTTCAAGTAAGGGATGAGGCTGTTGTGACCCTCTTCTGTCCCTAATGGTGTGCAAACTAGATCTGGACACGATGTGCCTTCTGATACGATGCAAAAACCAAGTGCACACTATTACCTATGACAGCAACTTTCTTCTGTAAAGAGCTAGTTACTAAATGTTTAGGTTTTGTGGGCCAAATGGTCTATGTTGCAACAACTCAACTCTGCTGATGTAATGCTAAAGCAGCCGGAAAATATGTAAACAAAAGAGCATGCTAACAAAACTTTATTTATAGACACTGAAATTTGAATTTCATATAATTTTCATGTGTCATGAAATATTATTCTTTTGATTCCTTGCTCCTGCTGCCCCAACCATTAAAAAAGGTAAAAATCATTCTTAGTTTATAGGCTGCACAAAAACATGTGGCAGGCCAGAATGCAACCCTGACCTATGTTTTAGTCTATCCAAAATTTTTACCTTGAATCCAGTATACCCTTAGATATAACATCCACTTGTATCTAGGGACACAGCAAATACAGCAACAAACTAAGTAACGCCATGAAGAAGATACCACATAAATTCAGAAAATGGAACACTCTGCAAGACAAGGGGTCTGGTCTCTTCAACAAATCACTGTCATATAAAAGGGACTATGCTAGGTTAAAATAGACGCTAGGAACATCATGGCCTGATGTAATTCATGGACCTGGACTGAATACTGGTTTAAACAAACCAGCTATAAAGGATATTTTGAGATCAACTGAAGAAGTCTGAATATTTGAGATGAAAATTTACTGAAATGGAAAGGTGAAGACTACTGATTATAGACAGTATGTACAAGATGATGTCCTAAGAAATTATTTATTTATGAATGTGCAGAAAAAGATTTAGGAGTCTATATACTAAGGTGTTAAGAGTGGTTAAGGGTATGACCTCTATCTGATGGGAAGATGAAATTTTCACTTAATTTTTGTTTGTTGAATTTCCCAGTTTCTTGTAAGGCACATGTACTGCTTCTATAAAAGGTTTATTTTTAAAAAGAATTAATTGATCTTATGAAAATAAAACTCATACAAGCTCACTGTACAGAATTTAAACACACATGGAAATAGAAAGAAATATGGAAGATCCTTCCACCTCTGGCCCATTTGTACTCTCACGCAGACCAGCTAAGCAGTTAACACATTGTGGATTCTTCTAACCCTTCTTTGCCTTCACAAGTGTGCGTAATACATCCACCCACATATAGATATTTTTGTTTTACAAACAAGGTATCTCATAATATTCTATGACTTGCTCTCCCCCCTTTACAATACCTGTAGGACAACTTTGCATGCTTAGTCCATACAGATCTATCCATTCTTTACGATGGTTGCAGTGTTCCAGCATGGAAGGATGCACCTATTTTAAGTTGTCCCCAACTGACAGCCATTGAGCTTGTTTAGTTTACGGACATTGTAAGCAACGGTATAATAACCACCCTCTAAAACACACATAAACAAACAAACAACAACAACAACAACCAAACCCATTGTCACTGAGTCAATTCCAACTCCCATAGGGTTTCCAAGGAGCGGCTGGTGGATTCGAACTGCTGACCTTTTGGTTAGCAGCCGAGATGTTAACCACTGCGCCACAAGGGCTCCGAAACACACATGTGTATAAGTATTTCTATAGGACAGATTCCTGGAAGTGGAATTACTGGGTTGAATGGCACACGTATTTGAAAAGTTAATAGACACTACCAAATAATTCTTTTAAAATGATTTTCCAATTTCCAATCCAACCAAAAGTGCATGAGAGCACTTATTTCCCTGACTTTTTACCAAAACCAGGTGTTATCCATCTTTTAAACATCTGCAAATCTCACAGGCCTGGTTTACTAATAAAAGCTGGGAATTTTCATATAGCCACAGGCTAGTTGTATTTCGTCTATAAAATGCTTATCCTTATTTTTTGCCTATTTTTCTACTGGGATGTTATCTTTTTCTTATGGATTATTAAAATGAATACTTTTTTCTATTCTGTATTTTACAAAAATGTTTTCCCAGTCTGTCAGTTGTCTTTTAAAATTGTTTCTGGAACTCTCAGAAGTTTTAAATTTGTGTGTGGTCTAAATACGTCAAACATCCTTTTCACCTTTGGGGTATTTTATCTTGTGAAGGAAAACTTTTCTTACCCAAGATTATAAAATTTTTCTCCTGTATTTTCAAGTGCTCTTAGAATTTTTATTTTTATATTTTAATCCACCTAGAATTGATTTTCTATAAGGCAAAAATCCAACTTCACTATTTTCTAAACAGCCAGTTGTTTCCATACCATTTATTGACTATTCTTTCCCAATTAATTGAAATGCCATCTTACTATGTGTATATACATATATATACATACATATATATGAACATATGTATGATACAAACATATTTATAAATTTCTAAATATTTAATATATAAAATATACAGCATAGTTTATTATATCGTTATGTGTGTGTATGTATATATGTAATACACACAGTTTTTTTGTATTCTGTATCTAGATCTTCATCCTGTTTCATTCAATCTATTTGTCTGTTGCTATGCCAGTGCCACACTGTTTTCCTCACTGTAGCTTTTGATATATAATAAGGTAACATTCACTGTTCTTTTAAAAACTTTTCTTGGTTATTATTACAGACTTACTCTTCAGGCACAAGCTTCTATTCAAAGTACATTCAATTTATCAGGTGAGTATAAAAAACTAACATGATGAGTTTTCTGGCCAATACCAAAACAACGAAGTTATCTTCCCTGTTACCTTATGAAGCTCTAGACCAATGCCAGCAGCCATTTTCCCTCCATAGGACTCTGAGAAAACGTAGAATGGAATCATCTAGCAAGAAAATATACAAAGAAGTAAAATATCTAGAATGGTTTTTAATTCACGTAAATTCATTTCAAATTTCTATTGCATGTAATGGCCAGACAAAACAAGCCTGCTTTTATCCCTTCCCCTGTCTCTGTCTGATTAGAAAACTGACTACAGGGTCATTCTTTCCAGCTAAAAACCACTTTTACAGATGACAGAAACAAAAGCCCATTACCCAATTTTGTGTGTGAAAAGGTTCTCTCTGAAATCAGCTGGGTAGTGATTTCTTGAGAAAGTTTAAGTTTATTCTGATAGATGTCGTCTTGCTACTACCAGCCCCTTACTTAGCTGTTCCTAGTCTTTGTTTACCTGGAATTCTTTGTGGCAGTCAAAGAACGTTCTCAGGAGAACCATCATGTCTGAAGCCACCATGTCAAGGTTTCTGGTGTACGCATCACTCGTGTTCACATAACTGAACCCAGTGCCCACAGGATTGTCCACAAACAGGAGACTGGCAGACTGGAGCTACATGCCACAGAGGAAAACCAATGTTACAATCAGTCAGTTGGTCAATAATTATCTTCAGAGCATCTTATATAAGCGCAGCAAAAACCACACATGTGAAGATAATCACTGGGTTATGATCCTGTTGTTAAAAGGGATTTCCTTTTAATATAAAAGATAGGAACACAGACTAGCAAAGAAAAGGATCAGCTGGAGAGGCAAGAAGGAAAGATAACACAGACATGGGGATCAAAGAATCCAAGTTGTCACTTTTCATACAATACAAATATACTAAATGTAACAGATTAGAGCATGTAAGACCACCCACTGTCAGTCTGAACAGTAGATCTAAGCAATGAGAGTATTCTTGAGGCCTGACTATCACACATCAGTTCTCTTCAAGATGAATCCAATTTCCACATTGGCCTGACTTCCTTGTACACTATGAGTATAGAATTTATCCTAATATCTTTTTCAAAGAGGCTCAGAATTACAGAATTTTACAACTGGAAGGATCCTTAGTAATGATACAGTCCAGCCATGCCCTTTACTGATCAGGAAATTAATGCCCAGAAAGGACCCAGACCTGTCCAAGGTCACCAAGTTGGGTAGGTAATGGCAGCATCAAGACTAGGACCTGGGTCTTCTCACTCTTGGTTTTCTTGGCACCAACCATGCTGTCCTCTCAGTTCTGAGAGGCCTGGGACAAGCCAGTGGGGTACTCTCCTACTGCAAGTGGAGGTGACATTTTATTTGGAACTGAGTACAGGAGTGTTCCAGGCTAAGACAACAGCATGTGCAAAGACCCTGAAGCAAGAGTAATAAAGAACAATTAAGGAAGATCAGTGTAGAGACAGATGAGAAATTCAAAGGACTTAGCGGGGACCTTAAAGAGGTGACCCTACATTGAGTCTTAAAGTAGTTGTGATTATGGTGAGCTGGATGTGAATGGGTGGCCAATGGAATGAAGTCCAAGCCAAGGAAATTGCCCATGCAGAAGAATGAAGTAGAGCGCTCATGGGTGTCAGGAGATGGGGCCGAAGACAGGCAGGGGCCAGATTTTGCATAGGAGTCTGATCAGATCTTTTAGATAATTGAAACATGTCAAACAAAGGAGTGATTTGCATTGGAGAAGTGAACTGGAGAGGGCACTCTGCAAACAGCCACTGGTGGTGATGGAGAAGAGGGGATAAATGAAGACTATTAAAAACACTTGAGTGTTAACATCCCTTTGGGAGCAAGGGAGAATGAAGAGAACAGGATACAAGGAAAAGATTAGTCCGAAGGACTAACTGTCCACAGCTACCAAGGCCTCCACCGGACTGAGTCCAGTACAGCTAGATGGTGCCTGGCTACCACCGACTGCTCTGACCA